TGTTGCCCATAGGACAATTAACGGAGGAAGCACAAGAAGCATGCAACAAAGACTTTAAAAGGTACCCGGAGCATAATTCTAGAAAATGCAGCAGAGAAAAGTGCAATGAAGATGTTTTCAATTTTTTTTTTACTCAGTTCTGATCCTCTGCTAAGTAGCAAACGAACATTGCCGAAGAAGAAAATTCAGCACTTACCTAAAAGTGACGACGATTACTAAGACTATGATTGACAGTGTTTTTATTGATATTTTTATTTTTGTTTAGTTTTTAGTTAATGTACATAGATTCATATTGCATCTTATCGAAAATCGCAACTATACCTAATATATGTTTATTTTTATAACAAAAACTTCTGATACATCTTTTATTTCACTCCAAATCACCTGTAGTTAACATTTTTTTTGCTTTTCTGATCCATTCGTACCGCCAATGATTTAATGCCAACTTTAAAGGTGTCCTGCCCCACTGTGCGTCGTGAGCGAGGACAGTTTCATGAAATGGTAAGTTATAATTTGTCTATAAATCTTACTCAATTTGTAGTTTTTTCCTTTCAGATAGTTACCATATTTACCAGGAACAATTCTGTGTAGATCTGTGATGTCTTTCGTAGTTATTTTCTTACTAATCCTTTTTTTTTATAAAAAAAATTTTTACTTTCATTTTCTCAAATCGGGCTTATTGACTCTCTTTTTCAGTTTTTTCTCGTTGTCCTGGAGATTTTTTTCTAGAATGTTCCCATAGGCATTGAGATTTTTTCTGTTATTTAATTGTGACCATTTCTGTTCTAACCACACTTATTTTTTGTTTATATCACTGTCACTTTATTTTAATCTTAAAATTAATTTGTACAATTATTAGTAATTACAATTCATATTCGTTTCAATAATTATAAAATAATTATCTACTTTAAAAATCTGAAATTTATACCAGGTATGAAATTTGTTTGTTTATTTTCAATGACTAATGTTTAAAATTTTTTTTATTTTTAGGTACCAAGAAATTTTGTGTTAATATGGATATGATTACTTTAGAAGAAATACTTTTTAATATCATTGGACATTGGTGTCTTATTTATGAGGAATATTCCATAGAAAACAAAGATTTATTAAAACTACAGTAACATCCAATATCCCTTTGATTTGGGCTTAAATTAAATCTTCCATAATTTTATTATTTAACCTTTTAACAGTAACACGAAAAAATCGTAAATTATTCTTCGAATGTCCCTCAATTGATATTCAGGGAGATTCGTAGCGGTTGATTTTTTGACGAAGTTTTTCCTAGGTGTGGAAAATGTAATTTTTCCAGTTGTTTCCATTCAAAATTCTTTTAACGGTAGTATAAGAAACACCTGTAAAAACGTAATATTATATTCATGTTAAAATTTAGTATTTTTTTTACATTTATTAGGAAACAAAAATTTTTAGAAACAAGATAAATTTTAAAAATTTAAATATACCTAAAATATTAATCAAAAATAAAATGCAGAGATACGTGTGTAAAATACAAAAAAATATGGAAAACTACGCAAGTTTCATTGCAAATAAACTACAGAGTATGTTTACCTGTTGCTTGTGCAGTTTGAAGTTTAATATCATCTAAAGTAACCTCCTTCCTTTTTTGTTGCGTTAAAATATTTAAAAACGTATATTACTTCACGAATTTGTCCGTTAATAACAGATCTGCGCTTTTTTTCACCCACAATAGAAGACATTATCAAAAATAAAACCAGTAACTTTAACCAAAATACAGAAACAAGAAACAAACAATGATATAGTCCATGGAGGAAAGATTATTAAGAGTTGCCGTATCTTTATAGAAATTTGGCAACAAGTTTGCTTGCAGCGACCTGTGGAAGCGGGTGGTTCAACTAATCCTACTCTGTCGGTAATATAGTTACCTGCAATATTAGCTGTTCAATCATTACTCTGTTGGTAATGCAGTTGCCCGTAATACCATATTTAATTTGAAAATTGGCGGGCTTATTTTACATCCATTAAGAGGAGCATTTATTTTAACAATTATTATTTTCCATCTAATACGAAATATAGGCATCCAAAATTTCAGTTAATTTTTTTCATTTTTAGTGAAAGAAAAACATGTAAGTGAAGGTAGACGTTCGTTCCTTTGGAGCCACTTTTTTAAAATTTGATCAATTTTGATGGCAAAAATCGCAAAATTTTGTTTCATAAAGACTTTCTCAATTGAGAAAATAAATCAGATTTCAGAATAGTGGCCCCAGAGAAACAAATATTTCACTTTTACCTAATGTACATATTATTCATTCACTAAAAATTAAAAATAAACTAGAAATGTCCATAGCTCTATTTCGTATTGGTTAGAAAAAGATAATTGCTAAAGTAAATTTTTCTCCTCTTAATTATATTTAAAATTTTGCTTTTTTATTAGCTGTTTGTTACAATTATGAAATGCCAATAAAATTGTAAAATTCTATGACAAATAACTATGAGGGGTAAAATAAATACCATACAAAGTTTTATATAATTATATTTACTAAAAATTCCCAAGAAAAATAAATTAAATTAATGGTAATACAACAATAATAATAGATTTTCCTACACTTCAACCTACATGAGTTAAACCCCAAGAAGAGCTTGTGAGTGGCAAGAATAGTTATTATTATTTGCTATGGCACTCTGGGATAGTGCCATATTATTTGCAGGTGAGTAAAACCCTGATAACCCGGCCTACCATCATTATTTGTATATATTAGTTTATTTCGATACAAAGTACAATCTATTTTTACAAATGTTTACTAGTTTCTATAAAAAATACTCCTAATTTCACGAAAATGTTATTCTCTAAAGATTATCTAATGAGTTTGACTTAAAAACATTCTAGTATTATAAATTATCTCCAAATATTTATTATCTTTAAGAAAGTTACTCTAATATCAGAAATATCACATTATTATTTAGGTGTACGTTAACTATCTTCGGTTAAAATAATGAATATCAGAAATTGCAAATAATTCATGTACTTGATTTGAAAAAACTAATTTTCTAAATAACAAAAATATTCTTGTTGAATCTTGGGAAATAAGATAAAAGGCAACCATCCATATAAACTGAAACAGAAAAAAAAATTAAATGCAGTAACTTCAATCATTTTGTTTATCTTTTTGGTCTTAAAATATTGCCACAGCTCTCATACTAGGTCTGTCCGGGTTCTTCAAAAATACATTGAGAACTATCAGAAGACTAGTTGACCAGTGGACAGTTTAATAGTTGTATCCGACAAATAATTTGGAATTAAACTGTTTCACTGGTTCTCGGACAGTTTGCATCGAGTTTTAAAGAAACCTGAACAAACCTAAATTATAATAGTTTTGAATTAAATTGTTGAAATATCTTTGATTCTGAAATTTTGACTGCAGTTTAAACGTCACATTAGGAATTATAGGGCATTTTTTAATTTGCAAATTTTACTTTTCTGTTTTCTATAAAATTTATTTAAAAATCCATTATCGAAACGTTGTTCCTTATGTAAGATTCAAATTCAATTGATGAGTGACCGTTTTTGAAATTTTGATCTTCTATATTATTGGAATGTAACACAGGTAATCTGGAGGTGTGATAACAACATTACTAAGTATTATTATCTTTGGTGTATCTGGTTTTGAGGGTGCTAAGCAAGCAAATCTTAGCAGTCATAGTCTTGAACAATTTGTGTTTGTAATCGATTTCGTATCAAAATTATCTCATAATTCATGATTGGTTTCACATGAAATGTTTAAAATGTGGCACCATTCTTTCTTTGATTTGGAAATTATGTATTTTCTCTAGTTAAAGCATCAAAATACCTTTACTTAATTTTAAATAATCCTAAATAACTTATATCTAAAACTAAAATTAATAAAAAATACTCTCACTCACATGTTTTCGTCGGCGGTAACCATAACCATATTGTTTTTTTGTTTACTTTTTGTTGATAGCGCGCGCGTCACCGTGGCAGCGGTCACACGAGGGGGAGCCAGCAGGCATGTAGCGGACATAAAGACAGGTTAACATTGTACAAATAACTAAGTGAAGGCATGATTTTTTAATTTGGTTTAATATATAAATTAAAATTGTTGAAATAATACTTTTTTGTGTTACTGAGCGAGATGTTATTAAATTATTTAGTGTGCTTTACATTTTAATACAATTTGGTTATTGTAAAACGGACTTCAGAGCACCCAAGCGCCGGGTGGTCTGCGCAGTAAACAGGTTGGCATATTTTGCATATGATTTAAACCCCCGTGATATAGTCGTTACGCTACTGACCGTAAGCAAAGACAAGATTCAAATTGTGAATGGGCGTGGCGATTTTTAAGTAAACGAACTTGAGCATTTGCGCTGGTTCTTTAGATTTGGCGTTTACTGTACCTTCCTATGGATTACTAGGTACGTTTCTCTTTAATAAATTATTTAACTTAAATATGATGATTTACAGATTTAAAGTCATGCATATTTCTATACTTTAATTCCAAATTATTATCATTATTATGTTGTTCTGTGCACCGTTAATGGTTTTTTTTTATCTTTTCCCCCTTATTTGCTTATGCCACTTCTTGTGTTTTATACATAACACAATAATATATACTCATAAGTAAAGGTAGATATGTTAGAATATTTTTTCAATATTAAATTGTCGTTTTTCACGTCTCAGAAAAAAATAGTGTATTATACATGGGAAAAATATTAGATTTTAGCTCTCAGTTTTTGTCTCCCTCCACTTTACGTCTGGAGACAACACTCTCAAGCTAAAATCTAATACTTTTTTCCCTTGTGTTATAAATATCTATTGCTTCTAGACGTCAATAATAATAAAAAAAATCCTTATGCAAGCATTTTCTGTCCTCCGGTTTTGCTACTATCGATGTATGGAAATTCCTACACGTAAAAAAACAAATATTTTTTTAACAATTTTGTTTAGAACAAAAATGGTTTGAAAATAAAAGTTACTTTTATAATAAAAAATTTTTTTTATTAACCGATATAACAAAAATTAACTTAAAATATCATTACGTATGTATGTACGTTAAATTAAACTTAACATATTACTGCGAGAAAGTTATAAGGTTTACTTATTTGCTTATTTTTAAAATACTGTGAAATATACACGATGTTCCGGTACATCGGGACAGCTTAAATGTCGATGTTTTTAAATGACATCCTGTCTATAAGTTTTTTTCTTAAATTCTACGACGTTATAAATTTATGACATTATGATATTTCAAAACTTATTGTTCTGTGATTTTTTTTCTCGGATACTGAAAGTATTTAAAACATTAAAATATATGCATATCTAGATAACAGTACCTAATTTATTTTGCCAAAATTTAAATTTCTTAACAAAATTACTTTTTGAAATATCCTTATCCGAAAATTATAAGGGGTCTGTAATCACCTTAAACAGATATTTAAAAACATGTTGTTTGGACTCGTATTACCAATAGGCTGAAAAATGGCTATATTATAGCCGAAACCGGTCGATTTAGAGTTTTAATTTTCTCTTTAATAATATTAATCGCTATGTTCTAAAGTACTATTTTCAGAGGGGGCGTTATTCTTGTGAATGAAAGCGTTTTTAGCAACACGTTTTAATCTGTTCGCCATATCCGATCCAGTTTCGTTGACCATCTTGGATAAGAAACTTTCGGAATTTTGTAATAAGTTATGGGGATGATCGAATTCCATAACTTGACCGGCGTCCATAACTAAAACTCTATCATTATCCATAATGGTGTTGAGTCGATGAGCAACGGTCAGTACGGTGCAGTCTTTGAATCTCTCGCGAATTGTTTTTTGGATTAGGGAGTCCGTCCTGAAAAAGACAAAATGCCCATTAGAAGAAAGTATCAACAAAGAAATTTAGAGATACTAATGTTTCTGATTATTATTTGTTTCTGCATGGTGTCCTGGACTAATGGTCCCGCGTATTAATTAACTCTGTCGAATGGACTGTGGGTGAAGGTGTCAGTCATGACGTCCAACCACTGAACTATATATTAAACTGGAAGAACGAAGCCGATCAACAAAATCAAGCCACATAGCGAGGTGATAACACTTTGGCGCCCATACATGCGTATCGAAATGCATTATAAAAAGGAACGTTAAAATTAAATTTAACACTTATTACATCTATCTATCTGAATTAGGACGTGGTTCAAAGCCCACTTGTACTAAAGCTATAGGCTTATTGTACCCCTCAGTTTCTATCCCCTCAGATTGATTTTCTTGATTAATTCAAGAATATGTCTGATGGGCGCTTTCGCGATTTCTTCAGGTTCCAGATATTGTACCCCGAAGTACCATTCCCGTTCCCATTTAAGGATCCGACAGTGGCATAGTATGTGAAGAGGAGTTTCATCCTTCTATTCACATATTCTACATAGGGAATCATCAGATATCCCTAACAGATTTAGGTGTCGTCTAAAGCCGCAGTGTCCCATAAGGAGTCCTATTACGGCCTTGAGTTCTCTTCTGATAAGGTTTAGCAGTTGATTTTGTCTGCTCGTGGATGGCCCCACTATGAATCTTTGGGACTGTCTAAGTCCAGGAAGTTCCAACCAGAACCTATGGTGTTCTCTATTTATTTGTTCCTTTAGCACCCATTTAACATGTTGGTATGAGATACCACATGTGGGTTCTGGTCCAATAAGAGTTTTTTCCGTCCCCTTTCTTGCTAGGAGGTCGCTTTCTCGTTTCCAAACACTCCCTCATGTCCTGGCATCTATTCAAGGGTGACCTTGTTATGTTTTGCCAGGGCCTGGAGGGACTGTTGGCAATCAAATATTGATTTAGATTATATTTCTACCCTTTTCAGTGCTTTAAGGGCTGCCTGACTGTCTGTCATGATAAAGATCCTCTCATCTCTAAGAGAGTCATTTAGCATGACTTTGGCGCAGGCATTTATTGCTGTTACTTCGGCCTGGAAGACTGTTGTCAGTGACCCCAGGTTCAGACTAATTGTCCTCCCTGAGTTCACATGGTAGATTCCAGCTCTTGTGCTGTTTTTCATTTTCGAACCGTCTGTATACCAGATTGATTCGTTTTGTTTTTCCCTACTTTCGCGGCTTTTGGCCCTTTCTGGTATTCGAATATCGAAAGGTTTCCTGAAGTCGTAAATAATAGGCGTTCTATCCTATGGCATTCTTAGTACCGGATTTTGTTTTAATTTTTTTTAATCCAAATCCATTAGTAAACAGCCTGTATGCCGCCACCGCGCCACCATAGCCTACTTCTCCATCACAAAGTGTAGTGGAGAAAGACCTAGCAGTAGCCTCATTGTTGCTGTGGGCGTAGTTCTAAATGCCCCTGTTATTATTAGACAGGCTAGCCTTTACACCTTGTCTAATTTTCTGTTAGCTGTTATGCTTTTAGTCTTGTGCCATCATATGACTGATGAGTAAGTTATAACAGGTACTACAATCATAGTATAAAGCCAGTGCATCATACTTGGTTTAAGCCCCCATACGTTCCCTACCATCCGTCTACAGGCCCATAGTATTCTTACAGCTTTTTCTGTTGTTTTTTTTATGTGGCTGCAGAAGCTTAGCCAAGAGTGATTCCAAGATATTTAACCTCTTTTGCCATTTTTAGATATTGTCCCCAAATATGAAGCTCCTTCATTCCTTGAAGGTTCCCTTTTCTTGTGAATGCAACAACATAGGTTTTTGTCGGGTTTGTGGACAATCCCTCTCTTAGGCACCATCTTTCGACGATATTTAGTGCCCGCTGTATAGTTTTGGATACAACAGACCCAAATTTACGGTTTACTATGATGCTTATGTCATCTGCAAATGCTTGCGTGTATGAATTTTCTCTCTATAACTCCCATAAGAGGTCATCAACCACCAAGGTCCACATAAGAGGAGATAACACTCCTCTCTATGGGCATCCCTTGTTAACTGAGACCTCTCTTGTTGTGTTAAGGATATTACTGGTAATGGTTCTATGATTAAGCATGAACTCAACCCACCTCGTAATGCAGTGGGCTACTCCACGCCTGTGCATAGATCCCAGTATTGAATTGTATGAAGCCGAGTCGAAGGCTCCTATATCTAGGAAGACTCCTAGTGCTACTTCTTTGCTTTCCAATGCTTGTTCAGCCTGCTGAGATAGCCTATTTATGGCTGCATCGCAAGAATTTCCAGATTGGTAGGCAAATTGGTATCGATGTATCGGTTTATCCTGTAGAACATCGTCTCGTATATATCTATCGATCAATTTCTCCAATGTTTTTAGGAGGCTGATTGGTCTAAAAGATTTGTTCTCCTCCTAAGACGCTTTCCCGGGTTAGGGAATGAAGACCATTCTTGCACACCTCCAGCTTTGTGGAACATATCCGAGGGCTATGCTAGCTCGGAATAGTTTACACAGTGGTCCCTCCAGTACTTCCTGGCCCTTTCGTAGAAGTACCGGGATTATACCATCATGTCCAGCTGTTTTGTATGGTTAAAAGAAATTTATCGCCCACACAAGTTTTGTTCTGTTTACTATTCAGTTTGCAAGAGTTTGGTTTTGAGGCCCTAGAAATTAGTGCCTCGGTACTCCTGTTCTCTTGGTCAGTTCTCTTTATTGATTTTTCAGAGATCCCATGCATCCTTGCTTATCTCTCTGTAGAGTCTGGCACATTCTGGAAGGCTTTCAATGCCGTCACAGAATTTCTTCCAGGAATTTTCTTTGGCTTTCCTAATGGCGTAGCCATATTCTCTCCGGTACGCCTTATAGGCTTCCCAGTTCCCCGACCTTTTAGACAGGTTGAACAGTTTACGAACTTCTGCTCTTTTTTCGGAAAGGTCTCGATTCCACCATACAGCGTCTCGATCCTCTTTCCTAATTTTTAAAGGACAGTTTTTTTTTCAAATATGTTGGTTAGGGTTCGTGTCAGAAACTCTGACATAAACTCAACTTCCACTGAATTCTTCGGTATCGGAGGACAGTCCTCCAGTCTCTGTTTGAGTTCTTCCTTGAAAGCTCCCCAGTTGCAGGTCCTAGGATTACGATATGTCTTCCCACCTGAGGTTTTTGTACCCAGATTAAACAGGATATACCTATGGTCGGAAAGTGACGCTTCTTTTGAGACATGCCACTTCCCCACCAATGAATACGCCCGTTGTGTACCAAGGGTTATATCAATTACCTCCCTTCGCACAGATGTTACAAAGGTTGGTTCATTTCCAACGTTTGCAACTTCTAGTTTATTTAAAGCAATAAATTTCAGAAGAGCTTCTCCTCGATTATTAATGTCAGTGCTCCCCCATACTATATGGTGTGTATTGGCATCACACCCTAGAAGAAGTTCGATTTTGTTTTTTCACAATGACTAACCAGTTCTTTCACCTCCTTGGTGGGGGGAGCCCAGGTTGTGCATATGGCAGATATACGGCTATAACAATCAGCTTAATTCCTCCGTCTAGCTTTAGGGATATTGTCACTAGGTCATTTTTACAAAATTCTCATAGTGGAAACAGCTTCAAGCTTTTATTGCAATCCTCCAATTCGCCCCTTGTATATAAGAGGTTCTTGGATTAGAGCAAGATCAATGTCTTGTTTTATTATACATCTTTGTAGGACAGCTGTTGCAGCCCAACAGTGATGTATATTTGCTTGGATTACCTTCATATTTTTTCTTGATGTCGGGTCCCCTTTCTCTCTCAGCACGTAAGCCGGGTCAGACAGCAGTGAGTCCCCTAAAAGAGTCCTCTCCTCATCTAGCTCACGTGCTGTGGATTCCGAGTTCCCTATTTCCTTTGGAGCGTTAGTTTCTTGTTCTGTAGCCCCACTTTCTTGTGATTCTACGACCAAGGACTGATCCTCCTCTGGTATGTTTTCTCCTACCTCAGTAGGCGTTTCTTTTTCCTGAGAAGTTTCAGGAGCAGCAGGAGTGGCCCGTTCCGTCTTTCCTCCAATCACTTTTATCGAGATACTGGAGAAATTCAGGAACAGTGTTCCCTACTTCTCCTTTATCTTCTCCCAAAAGACGGAATCCATGGTTATGAAAAGTTGCTGTCCCCTAGGGTCCAACTTCCTTTCAGTAACCCTCCAGTTCCCCGTTTGGAGCCCCCAATTTTGGATTCTTAGTATCTTCTTTATTCTTTCCGGTTATACTGCAGATTCACTTATTACATTGAACTACGACACCGTTTTAAGAAAATCACTTAAAAATTATTTTTGATTAATACGCAGCTGAAACAAATGTTTCAATAATAATAAAATAACTCGTTATTAAAAAAACTTATTGTAGTACGCCCGTGGGAAACATGACGAAGAATGCTTGAGATTCACAGTCTGGCGTCCAAATCGTCATGCGCACCGACTTTTTTTCACCCATGTCGGCTTAGAAATTAGGAGTAGGGTTTATGTCATATAGCCATCCAGTTTAATATTAAGGTCAATACGTTCAACACAGTGCCATCTATTGTTCTCCATTTTTACTGCGGGCACTGGGAGAGAAGCGAATAATATAAACCTCATGCGTTCCGTATTAATCGCACATAATTTTAATGTTTCATGTCAAGAAACCAAAAGAACCTTTCTGATGCAATGACCCTTGGGCGGGATAATAATACTACCACTTTCGACTTGAGAAAAAAAAGTCGGTTAAAATACAAGAGGAATAAAATATATACTAAATTAAATGTTCAAGTTAAAATTGTTACTCTTATTTTTCTAAAACTACTAAAGAGATGAATATAATGTTTTTTTAGAATTATCACTATATCGTATCTACTAAAAGAGATTGGGCAAGCAGAATCATCAAACTCAAACCAAGAAGAGCCAGTATAGTAGTACTAACTTATAGAGGAACTAAACCAAGTTGTATATCAAATGAAAATTAATAAACCAGAGTTCAACTTCCTATCAGCAGTATGGTTGGCGGTTGAAACTATTTCGATTTAATTTTATAATTTTATATTAAGATTCACTTACTGTGGATCCACATTAGCAGTAGCTTCATCCATGACCAAAATCTTTTTGTTTCTCACTATAGCTCTCGCAAGACAGATCAACTGCCTCTGTCCCGCGCTCAAATTGGAGCCTCCTTCGTTGATTGTCATGTTGAGATCGGGAAGCGTGTCTTTAAGTTCAACCTATAAAAATTAAGATTCATTCAATATAAAAGTTTTATGTACAATAAACTACACATACGTGTTCCAACGCCTCCCATAATACGCTATCATTGTGCTTCTCAAACGGATCTAAATTGTATCGCAACGAAGCTGAAAATAAAACTGGTTCCTGGGGTATAATCGAAATATTCGATCTTAAATCGCGCAAACCCAGTTGCGCAGTATCGAAATCGTCAATGGTGATAGTACCATCTATTGGTGCCAGTCTGAACAACGAAGCGATCAGCGTTGATTTTCCAGCGCCTGTCCTTCCAACTACGCCAATCTATAAGAAAGTACGTTATTTTCTTCCATCTGTAGATGCTTATAAATATAGCACGCCACACCTGTGTCTCAGCACTTCCCGAGACTGTGAAAACAAGCAATGATCCGGAAACCGAATAAGGATTACTCATAGCTGGGAGCAAGCTAATCAAATCAAATCAAATTTATTCATTAAAATAATTTACATTTTTTTAACAATTTTTTAAGACCCGCCTAAACAAAGTTTGTGTGCGGAATCTCTAATGGGTCTGTAATTTAGCGGGAAAAGTAATACAAAGAAGATCGAACGAAGAAACAAAAAAGCTCAACATTATACCTGACGAGCAAGAGGATTTAACGGAAATCAGTCAACATGAGTTATATTTTTGGATATCAGAGAATGGCACGCTGGGTTGATATACCAGATGAAAGACCAATGATACACAGCAGGGATGACATTACTACTCAGGGTGTAGTTGTACTTCTGTGAAGGGCAATTCTAGATCAAGATGAGACACGTCCTATCTAGGCCAAGAATTTCAGAAGCAGTGGTATCCAAAAGGGCGGTTTTGTCACAATTGATGTATACCGATATCTTCAAGACGCAGCAGCCGGAATAAAAAATAGACTGAAAAAGCAAAGTTGTGCTGTTCAAGAAGAGATTGCACCAACCAGGCGAGAAAATCACAATGAATGAAAAAGATGTAGTAAACTTATTCTGCAAAATACTTTGGAGTAGGTAAAGATGGACGAAACATTAACATTTACCTGTCACAAAACAAGCCAGGGCAAGAATGAAGTCTCTGATAGAAAGAAGAAAGCAAACTACTGCTGAATAAAAAAAAAAGCTTAAGATGGGCAGCAAACGCCGAAATGACATCATATTTAGTGATCTGGAATCCACCAGGATTTTAAACCTTTTAAACAAAAAGGCTACAGACACCTTCGAAAACTTAAGACTGCACTCCAACAAAATCGCTGAGTACGCGAAAGATGAATACAGAACACATGCCAGACCACGAAACTACTGGACTATGGTAAACAAAAATAGGACTTCTCATTCTTTTTTTATTTACAAAACCACTAGAGAAAAAGACAAGGAAAAAGAATAAATGTATGCTTACGCCGTAATCTTAGACATATTGCCGGAAAGATAATTTAAAGTTTCCTATGAAATAAAATCCTGCTTCTATTACGAACTGATCGATGGCGAAAACCTCTTGCAATTAACTTGCAACTGCAATGTGTGTCCGACCTGAATAAAACAATACCAGGACAATGAGATATTGATACAGATACAAAAACAAAGACCAATGAGATATTGATACTGATAATGAAAATTAATGATAGCGAACCTTGGGTGTTACAAAAATAAAAAAACATGAATGTTAAATGAATGCAATAGAAATTAAGCGTTTAAGAAAAGTAGAGGAGACAACTAAACGGAACATAGTAAAAACTGAAAATATAAGAAAACTAAGTAAACGGAAACCAATAATGAGAAAGATGAAAACGAAACAATTAAACTGGTATAAGAATGAAACCAAAGAGTATAACAAGAGAAGTAATTGAAATAGCAATATAAACAAAAATCCAGTAACAAATACTCAGTAAGAAATGGATTGATCAGATTGAACAGATCGAAACAGCTAAGAAAAATTTTTAATAGATTTAAAGACAATGACTTAAAAAATGGATCCATGAAGAGAGAAGGGATTCCAATCCGATGTCTAAAAAGGTAAAGGGATATAAGACAAAAAAATACTCACCTTTTCTCCAGAATCAATTTCAATATTTACGTTCTTTAATACTGGAGATAATTCTAGAGCATAACTGAGATAAGTGTTTTTGAATTGGATTTTCCCTCTGCTTGGCCAATCTCGCGGAGGTTTCTGTCCTATAGTTTCTAACGGGTGCTCTTTTTCTAATTTCGTGTACTGTACCACTCTTTCCACACTGACCATGTTGCTGGCAACTTCCGTGCTCTGTCTAACTCCGTGTTGCAACATACCAGTTAAAATGAGACTTTGAGAAATTACCAATCCTACGTTGCCGCTAAGGGTGTTTTCTAAAATTAGTATATTATTAATTGTGCGTAAATTTTCGGTTTGCAGTGTGTAATCCTACCATCTTCAAATATGAGGAACTGATAAGTAACAAATGCCAGAAACGTTGTACTGATTACATCAAGATAGAAACCAAACGCAGTACTGCTGGCAATGAACAAAAACCACGTGCTCGTATGTTGATCTTGCAGAGCATCGAATTCTTTAACAAGCATTTGTTCTGCATTTGCAGATCTTATAGTTGGCATACCATACAAAGTGGCGGAAACGTAGGAAAACATTGGAGCTTTACCTGGAAAATAACAGGGTTTTAATGAGTAGTTAATTTTCAATATTGCTGAATGTTTCTTGTTCCTCAAGATATTCATAATATCTTACTTGTTCCTTCCAATCTCTTAATGGCTTGAGCACATTTCAAATATACGACTCTAAACCAGTAAAAGATGGTACCTAGTACAATTGTTGGAACCATCATCCAAGGGGTAACTATGAAGACCATGGTTAATATACCAAACAAAACAAGGAAAATTTGAAGAGTATCGAATTGAGCACGTGGTAATATTTCATCTATAGCTCCCATATCTTTTGAGAACCTGTTTAATATTCGACCTAAAATGAAAATGCAATATTTTAATTGATACACTCATCTGTAATAAATAATGAACAAAAACCCGAGTTTGGTATCGTAATGTTCAGTTCTGATTTAATTTTGTTTTAAAGGGCATACTTTATTCATTTTAGTCCAGAAGATCCATAGTCTGAGAAAAATTTTATAATATATTACCTGGGGTATGGAATGAAATTAACATAATGAAGGAAATGAGACAAATCTACACAAAAACGTCACGACATAAAGGCGTAGGATTCCAAAAGTACTCTACCTGAAGGATTAGTATCGAAGAATCTCATAGGAGCTTGAAGAACGTTGTTGAATATTTGGCTATGCAAAACCTTTGAAGCTGTCATACAGATGTGGTAAAACAAAAACGACCTAATCGTCAATATAATTACCGAACTGCCGATAAGTATTGTATAGATCCAAATGTAATATTCTCTCGGCTTTATTTCGTATATCAATGTGGAATTTGTGGTGTCTGTCGATTCCAGAAACATAGTGGAATTAATGGCGCTATTAATTAAATCCATTGTAACGATTGTAATAGATACTTCAGGTAATGATGAAGCCGTTGTTGCTGATAGAGATAGATTGGATGGTAACAAAGTGTCCAAAGCATTTTTTGGTAGTATTGAAGACGACGTTGGACTGTCCGTCCCGTTGTTATTTGATTGGAATCGTTTTTCTTCATCATTAACCCTACAAAAATGTTTTTTAATGTTATCAAATATCTTTGTAGGATCCAACTGCAATAAGAAGAACACAGGTGCGTCATCACTTAGCGAAGTCATTCTATTGAGATAAAACGTTCACTTTCTCTTAATACTTTCACTAGATACTTAACGGTTGCTAATTGTTTTTACTTTTTCTTGTTAGCTGTAGTAGTTGTCATACTTTTTTGATATTTGTCACATTTATATTTTTTATACGATTTCCAAATAAAGTATTATCATATTGATTATCCTGCATTCATCAATACATTCATTGGCGATCGCTGCTTCTGAAGGATTTAGTACGTGTTAATAATATAGAAATATAGCAAATATTTGTTTATACACAACAACTTATTCTTTATTTATTGATAGTCATAGATAATATGTATTTGAAATTTGAAATAATGGTTATGACGTAGCGGTGTTACATTTATTATAATCGGATTCTATAATATTATATTATGTTTGTTAACAACGTAAACTAACAAAATTGAGGATCAATGGCGTGCACACGCCATTAAATTTTTTATGTAGGAATATGCATGTTATTTATAAAAAATAAATACCAATATAAATATTTCTAAAACACTGTTTATTGATATTGTTGTCCGAGCCATATTTGAGTAGTTCTTCGTGCGCTAATTACTTAACTTACTCTCTGCCTTGCTTTTAGGCTTTTTACAGTCTTCAGTATTTTAATGACAAGAATATTATTTGAAGCGAGTCACCTTAGAACCTTTTTTTTGTCTGCGAGAAGAAAGCTGTAAAAAGTTCCGGAAACGTTAAACGATTCTAATCTAATCCATTCTAGACTAGCTGGTATCTTCAAAAAAAGGCCTGACGCGCTGTATTTTTATATAGATAGCCGAATGTTGCCCTTTGATTTCAATTCAAGGTAAAAAGTACAAAACGATAAAACGATCCTTTTTTTCAGCCATATTATTGTTGAACTTTTGCTATAATAATTTTGGCCCAGAAATGTTTTAATCAAATCTGCCTAATTATCGATATCTAGGAATAAAATAGCTCAAAACAAGATAATTGATCACACATCTTTAAAGACAGAATTTAAACTAAAAAATAACGCAGCAGAATTACAAAATTGCTAAATACCTACCAAATTGAATGCAAGAAATCTTTTAACAGCTGTTACTATGTGGGCGATAACTATTTTAACATCTTTGGCCTATTAAAGTATTCCCAAGTAGATCTAGATGAACAGACTAACCAGACGACATCTTACCAAATTTAGGTCCCATCACCCTAAATCAGCCATCCAATGCTTATACCTTCCAAGATCCAAAGGAGGAAGAGGGCTTATAAATATTGAAAACTGCCGATAACAAGAACTAGACCTAAGGCAATACTATTTGAACTCTGAATCCCGATTAATAGCTAAGATAAGAGAGGTTAATGACAATTATTATACACCATTAAAATTAGGTAACGCAGAACACTTGATACAAATTTCTGATGAATAACAGCAAACAGAAATCTGGAAAAACAAAGCATTTCATGGAACATTCTGGGACAATTGACAATACTGTAACTGACAAATAAAAATCTTTTATCCTAGCCAGGTATTAGAAAATCGGGATGTAGTATTCTAGTGGTACAACCCAATATCACGGTACGCAAATACTGATATATTCTTGCACATGTTGGCTCTATCCTTGATACTTGATGCATCTACATATATAAATGCAAGTAACGGGACATTTTCGATAATAAAAAAATAATATTACTAACAATTGTAAGGCGAGGATAAGAAATACAATCGAGTTGCTTGGAAAATTACTAGATTCAATATTCCCACGCCTTTTTCGCGCATGAGTAATGCCAAATTGTCGAATAACGGGACAGGTTCATTTCTATTGATCCAAACATTATTTTTTTGTTAAACACGTTGCTAGCAAACACTCTTTAATTAAAATAGCATAAAGAATTAAACTTTTGGATGTTACATTTCTTACCAATGAGTCATCCACAGATCTGCAGAGTTTGTAACTACTTGAGCTACAATAAACAAAGAAAAAGACAATAGTACTACTAAAATGTTACCAGCGGCTCTCCAATAACCGACATATGTATCAGAAGAAATGTTGCCCTTTTCTATTAATTCATCGGTTTCTTCTGGCTCATCTGCAGCTATGGACTACAAAAAAGTTATAATACAATAATAAATAATTATTTATACCAGATTACAAAATTACTCACTGCAAGAGAGTTCACCGATTGGAAAATATTATCTTTACTAGCCGGTATTTCCTCAGTTTTTTCATGTTTTCCTTCTTTAACTTCTCTAACTTCTTTTACTTCTTGTCGTTGAATGAATTTCAGATCGTTTTCTGTCAAGTCACTATGAGTACAGACTCTAACGATCTTTCCCTAAAAAAATATATAATAAATACATATTAAAAGGCAAAAGAATTACATATTATTGTGAGCTCTATCTACTGTGTATGAATGAGTTAACCGAAGGTCTTATCCGATGTAATATTTCACTTTTAATCTTAGAATCTTACATTTTTTGTAATGCGAGTTTTGCTGAGTAAACTAGAAATATGTAATAAAATCACCTTTTCTAATCATCTAAAAAAACTAGTACTCCTTTAGTAAATCAATATGTTTGACCATACAGTTTTATGTAAAATTATTAATTATTAAGACCTTAAATTCAAATGTGATCTCAAAGTTAACATTTAAAAAAAAAATGGTTAGGTAAATAGTTTAATATTATTTTAATTTATTTTCAATAATGAAATAATTGAATAATTTATCTTATACATGCAGAAAATTAAATAAATCTGAGAACTAAACAATGTTTATATACACAGGGTGTTATTTTAATAGCTAGTGATTTAATTTTAATGTGTTAGGATTAATTTTAAAAATGTGAAATTTTTTACTAATAATTAATAATCATCAATAAAGGTTTAACATAAAAATGGTAACGGTAGACAGTAAATGCACGTATGGCAACAGTAGACGCCACTATTTTGTACTTTATTTTTAATCAGAGTACTTCCACCTTAAACAAGATTTTTTTTGGTGAGCGACAAGTTAAAACTGACAGAAAGTATACTAACGCGGCATGTCGAACGGCGTTTTTTTTGTAGCGATTTTAAACAGATGATAAGTAGAGACACAAACGTTCAATATCAAAATGGAGATAGAAGAAGTAACCATAGATATATAACCAAGATAGATAGGATTATTTACAAAATTTCTGAAGCCTCAACGTTGGCGTCCGCTGTAGAAACACAATAATTTGAATAAACATTGATGCCAAGTTTACGGTGTGTTTAACAGTAGAACAGTAGCAATACTGTTTAAATTTAAATTATAGGAGGAAATTTTATGTTTGGCAACAACACATTTACTGTTAATCGTATTTATAGACCAAGTTGTAAATTTGTTTTATTCTTAAAGTACTTTGTGTTATGTGGGTTGCAGCTATTTTTTGTGAAAACTGCTTTTTCTCAGTTTGTTATATTATTTATGCAATTAAATAGGGTGTTAGGTATTTACGCGTTTTTTCCTTAATTTATAATAATTATTTTATGTTGATATTTATCATAATTAATTGGATGCTAGTGACCCTTAATATTTTTATCAAAACAGTTTGGTTAATTACCACTCTTAAGCTAGCAGGACCAACTGGGCAGAATCGATTAAAATCTATTACATTATTTAGTACCTATTTTGTATTAATTTGTACCACCAATAAAAATTTTGTAACATGTGCCGTTTAAAAAAAAAAAAAAAAAAAACGTGGCGCTGCTAGGTTAATATTAAGCTAGCAGGACCACATTAAAAAAATAAAACAAAGGTAGAATTAAAAAGCCGCTGCTAGGTTAATATTAAGCTAGCAGGACCACATTAAAAAAATAAAACAAAGGTAGAATTAAAAAGAACTAAATTTGTACCAATTTGTAACACCAATAAATTATTCGTACTATGTACCGTTTACAAAAAAAACACAAGGTGCTTCTAGTTCAATATTAGGCTAGCAGGACCACATTGAAAAATACAAAGGTATGCTCGTGCAAAAGGGTACTTTACCCTTGAGCCTAATATAAGTTTAGGTTAGTTTCTATAAGAACGGCAGGGGTACAAAATCCGAAATTCCATATTTTAGTGGTACAAATTATGTTACTTTAATTGCAGGAGTAACTATTGATTCTGCTCGTGCAAAAGGGTACTTTACTCTTGAGCCTAATATGAGTTTAGGTTAGTTTCTATAGGAACGGCAGGGGTACAAAATCTAAAATTTCATATTTAAGTGGTACAAATTATGTTACTTTCATTGCAGGAGTAACTATTGATTCTGATCGTGCAAAAGGGTACTTTACTCTTGAGCCTAATATGAATTTACGTTAGTTTCTATAGGAACGGCAGGGGTACAAAATCTGAAATTTCATATTTTAGTGGTACAAATTATGTTACTTTTATTGCAGAAGTTACTATTGATTCTGCTCGTGCAAAAGGGTACTTTACTCTTGAGCCTAATATTAATTTTTATTAATTTTTATTTATTAATTTTTATTAATTTTTATTAATTTTTATAAATTTTTATTAATTTTTATTAATTTTTATAAATTTTAATTAATTTTTATTAATTTTTATAAATTTTTATTAATTTTTATTAATTTTAATAATTTTTATTAATTTTTATTAATTTTTATTAATTTTTATTAATTTTTATTAATTTTTATTAATTTTTATTAATTATTATTAATTTTTATTAATTTTTATTAATTTTTATTAATTTTTATTAATTTTTATTAATTTTTATTAATTTTTATTAATTTTTATTAATTTTTATTAATTTTTATTAATTTTTATTAATTTTTATTAATTTTTATTAATTTTTATTAATTTTTATTAATTTTTATTAATTTTTATTAATTTTTATTAATTTTTATTAATTTTTATTAATTTTTATTAATTTTTATTAATTTTTATTAATTTTTATTAATTTTTATTAATTTTTATTAATTTTTATTAATTTTTATTAATTTTTATTAATTTTTATTAATTTTTATTAATTTTTATTAATTTTTATTAATTTTTATTAATTTTTATTAATTTTTATTAATTTTTATTAATTTTTATTAATTTTTATTAATTTTTATTAATTTTTATTAATTTTTATTAATTTTATTAATTTTTATTAATTTTTATTAATTTTTATTAATTTTTATTAATTTTTATTAAT